ACAGTTAATATTAGTTGAACAATTTTCTTCCTCTTTATTTTATTTTGTGTGTGTGTGTGTGTGTGTGTGTGTGTGTGTGTGTGCTGAATGGACTTCTACCCTCAAGCAGTGAATGAATTTTAAATGAGAGCACATTTAGAAAGCAAACAATAATTTGTTTTTGAGAAAGTTCCAATATATGTTTTATAGATTCAGATTTTATTAACAGCTTTCTGTGGGTGGGAAAAGGTGAGCAGTTTGTAAGGTAAAAAGTATCACCTAGATAAACAAGTAGTGATTTTTCTTAGCCATCATGAATACCTAACTAGTTTTCACCATAAAAAAAGTTATATCTATATAAAATATTCAACAGTACCATGGTTATACAATAAGTCACTTTTCTGTCTCAACCCCATTCCTGATACCCACTTCAGAGGTAATCACTCTCTTTAGTCTCTTATATTTGGATGGAATATTTTTGGATAATATATAAATATACACATAACTCTCTTTATACAAATTAAATCACTTTATATATTCTGCTTTCCTTTTCATTTAATATAGCTGTGTTCTACATGGAAAATGCATTTTAAAAATAATTTTCTTATACTTCTTTAGAATCTTCATATATCATAGTTTATAAAAATCATAGCGATTGAAAGATTTTAACAACAAAGTACAAATGTATGGAAATATACATTGTATTTGAATGGAATATATACGATAATTATGGCTACATAGATACCTTTTAAGTTATATTTTTTAAAGTTTGTAACATCAACATCTAATGTTATGTCTAGCTACTACATAGTGGAGAAATCTGGGTTTAAAGTAGATTTCAAATGCCTGTCATTATCGTTTAGCTCTTTTTACGATACAAATTTACTTATTATGTCTAATGTATCATGATTCTTTATCCATTTTTTTTTTCTTTAACTTACAAGCTTTTTAAGAACGAGGAATTAGGTTAGTATTGGTTGTGATGTCTGTAATAAGGAATAGAAGTTTTAGGCCCTACTCTAGTAGCTGGGTAGTTAAATATTAGAAAGTATACTCACTCAGTAACCTAATAATAGCATTCATGTCTGGTGGATCATTTTTATATTTATATAGCTGAAATAAAAAGGAATATTGTTTTGCTTTATAACTGGAGTTAAATTGTTATTGGGAGAATTATTAGCTTGCCCAACACAATTATTTTGTTTGTTTGTGTTGAGATGGTATATGGGCTTTAGAGCCAGACCAACCTGGGTTCAAATCCTGTCTAAATCTCTGGTACTAGTTCAATGATACTGGGGTCCCTCTCTGTAGCTCAGTTTTTTCATCTATACAATTGTAATAATAGTAATACTACCAGTAAAGATGCTGCAGTGAACATTCTTGTATCAATACATCTATTTGTTCATATGAAGTTATTGCTGTGGACAGAGAAATCTATGGACTAAAAGACATGTGCAGTTTAAAATTTGATACTTGCTGTAAAATTTGACACTCTAGATAAAGACTATCCCAATTTGCAATCCCACTAACAGTGTATGACAGTGCTGTGTACCCTCTACGCATGAAAAGTACATTCAATTTTTGCCATTCTTATGCCTATCTTTAAATGTTAACCATCTCCAAGTCTCTTTGACCTCTCTATCAAATCTTAAGCATTGGAATAATATGATAGTACCCCACATATTGTTATCATTTAGATTTTTCTTTTCATAACTATTCGTATGTTTACGTAGGCTGTGTATTTGTTAGTGTCTACAATTTGTAAAACAGAGAAGTCCTTGAGTCTAGGATTAAGCAGATTAAAATTTCAGTTAATCTCATTCACCTTCTCATTAGTTTGGCCATGTACTGTGGTTACTCTCATTTCCACTATAACTAGAAAACCCTTTTGTTTAAATTATATCTTAGTATATTTTTATGTCTTTACAAGTACAAATGTACTCTAATATTTAGCACTTTCAGGTGCCTTGGTTTATCATTCTGAGTATTTATTATCATTATATAGTCTATAGATGCAGAAGATGTGAATGGTTAGTACGGACTAAATCCATACTAACCTTCAAGAGAGAAGTTGTGTTTCACTTTATTTTCTTAATACTTGACTCTCCTAAAAGGAAAATGCTGGAAAATTCCACTTAAGTTTTATTTTTATTATAATTATATTTCTATTTTTTATTTTTTTTCCTTTTTGTCTTTTTTCGTGTCCGGCAACGGGCCGCAACCCTCAGTGTCACGCCCATACCGGACCGGGACCAGCAACGGGATCGCAACCCTCGGTGCTGCGCCCGCCCCTCGCTCAGCCAGTGAGCGGGAACCGGTCTGTATGTGGGATCCGAACCCTCGGCAGGAGCACCACCGCACTCCCAAGCGGCGCACTGTAGCAGTGCGCCACCAGGCCGGCCCTATTTTTATTATAATTATATTTCTATTTGAAACCTGCTACTCTTTTTTGAAGCACTGTTTTCAGTCATAGGTATCCTTGAGATTTATGAAAATAAGTTAAAGTACATGCCAATGAAATATAGAATCCTAAACTATAGGTGTTGGCATGCCCTACCTCCCAAATCATGTTTGGATTGAATTTTCATTCATATTCTTAACTAAGTCTACACTTGACACCTACAACCTTTTTACAGACAACTTGTACTATAGATAAATGAATGGCTTCCTATGATTTTAAAGAGTAGTAAGGCTTATCTGGTCATTTTGAACTACAGAGGTTTAGGTAGGTAACTGGTAGACATGTTTTGAAGGCATTAATCCAATATTTTCCATATTTCTCTGAAGTCTTAATATAGATTCTAATTTTAATTGATGTCTTTCTTTTTGTGGCTGGCCAATACAGGGATCCAAACCCTTGGCCTTGTGTTATAATAATTGATGTCATTTTTGACTAAGAGGTTTATTTTGGATCCATAGCTCTTAAATTTAATAAATTGTTAAAAAAAAAAAAAGAACATTCTTGAATATGTTATTAAAGTGCTATAACAATTAGAGACATGTAAATCACCCTCAATAGACCTCGGCTCCTTTGAGGACTCAGTAAATGGCAGGTATTATTTTTATACATAATAATATTAAAAAGTAGCATTGTGGAATTTATAGTGAATATAGAACCTTGCAATATATCCATATTGGCCCTTTAGAAGGATTTAATATTAGGACTCTACTTGTGATCCCCATTAAATTTTAATACTTTTTTATAGAATCCCAAAACAAAAGAGCAGATTGAAAATCTGTTACGGAATGGGATGAACAAGGAGCTGCGAGATCGTCTTTGTTGCCGAATGACTTTCGGGACTGCAGGACTTCGTTCTGCCATGGGGGCAGGGTTTTGCTATATTAATGACCTTACAGTAATACAATCAACACAAGTAAGTATTATAAAGTATTATATGTGTACTTTTTCCTCACTCAAGTTTTTGCTTTATAAATTAGGAAGTGTCTTTCTTTAAAAAAAAAAAGGTTTATGTACAGGAAGATACTTTCATGTAAGTAAAAACTACAGACTAAATTCTGACCGTTGCTTTTGCCCAAGATTTGTGTATCTTCAAGGTCACATTGGATTTAATGATTACTAAATCAATGTTTCTGTGGTATTAAATGTATCTGAAAATCCAGGAAATGTCATCTCACATTTTGGACATAATGTAGGAAGAGTATTGCACCCACGATAGTAAACATGGGCATGAAGACAGAAGTCAATTCCCTAGGGGCCAGTAAGTTGCTCATCAAACATAAAAATAAGAGATTCTAAGTCATGTAAAATGCGTTCATCAGGAACTAATCTTTTGTGTTTATTTACTTCAGGGGATGTACAAATACCTTGAGAGATGTTTCTCAGACTTCAAAGAGAGAGGCTTCGTTGTTGGGTATGACACTCGGGGTCAAGTAACTAGCAGCTGCAGCAGCCAGAGGTAGAACATTAATTGTATCAAAGATTAAGTCGGAGTGGAATAAAACATTAAAAAAAATTTTTTGGCCCAGTAGTAGGATTTCTGAAACAGGGACTGTCAAATAGAAGTGTGATCACATACTAATGTTTATTTTAGAGCTGAAATAGAAGAAAGATAAGCTTTAGATTTTATAGAAGGGAGTAAAATCTTAAGGTATTTAAAGTTCATATTTAGAATGACATCATATCTTACATTATAATTTTAATATTTTGGTAAAGGCACTGGGTAGGAGTAATTATATAGCTTGTATTCCCTCATTATAGTCCTATTTGATTAATTTTAGAGTTTTTCATGAATAGATAATCATGATGTAGTGACGCATTTTTTCAGGGAGTAATTATAAATATTGGTTTTACCAGTCTCTTATTTCACTTTGCTCCATTCTTTTTGCCTTTTGCAGATTTTATTTCTTATTAAAAGAGCCATCAAGGGGCCGGCCCGGTGGCGCACTGCTGCAGTGCGCCGCTTGGGAGCGTGGTGGCGCTCTCGCTGAGGGTTCGGATCCCACATACAGACCGGTTCCCGCTCACTGGCTGAGCGAGGTGTGGGAGCAACACCGAGGTTTGCGATCCCGTTGCCGGTCCCAGTCCGGTACGGGCACGACACTGAGGGTTGCGATCCGTTGCCGGACACGAAAAAAGACAAAAAGGAAAAAAAAAAAGAGCCATCAAAAGATGAATGAGGAAAAAAGAGGAGATTGAAATGTCAATTCTGTTTATTGTTCAGCTCCTTTTTTCAAAAAATCTTATTTAACATTTTTTATGTTGGAGCATGAAGCTTAAATAATCAATGATTATAAGAACTGGTTGTGTTAGGCTACTTTATATTCATAATAATTGTAACATAGAATATTTATTATGTGGAAGGTTGGTTTTAAAAATTACAATTATGGTAAGCTAAATGAAATCTCCTTTTTTTTTTTAGGCTTGCTAAACTCACTGCTGCAGTCTTGTTGGCTAAAGATGTTCCTGTGTACCTTTTTTCAAGATATGTTCCTACACCTTTTGTAGTAAGTGTGTTGTGTTAGTGATGCTACAGTTTGTTGCTCTCGAAAAGATTTCTTAAATCAAGTAGGATTCAAATCTTTGTCATGCATATATTTCTGTATTGAGTGATATGAGGGACAAAAGGAAGGAAAACAAATTTTGCTTTGAGTTTATTTTCATTCAGTAATCATTTGTCAAACCACCTAAGAACTTGATCTGTATAAAAGTTGACTAGTCCACAGTCATGGTGGGATATTTTAATACTCTTCTTTCTGTGGGGTATACATAAAGCAAATGTATTTCACAGGGCCTGGTTTTCCAAAGCCCTGCAGTTTCAAATATTAACCTTGCAAAAGACAGGAAATTTTCCCCAGGCTACGGTCTCTGTTGTAAGATAAAGAATTGTAACACAGCAAGGTTGCTGGCTCAAAGACAGACAGGTTACTGATTGATATGTAAAGATACTGGGAAATTGCTGTAAGAAGAGAATGTTCACTAAGATCAAGTTTTTGTTGGCAGATGAACTTAACTTCTTGAAAATTGCATTATGGAATGTCACCTTGCTTGTTTTACTGAATGTTACCAGCTTCTATTGTTAAATTTATTAAACTATACTTAACAAAAACCCCACCTATGTCCTCTTCCTGTAACTTCCTGGTCTGGAGAATAAATGCAGGAAGAGAACCCCAATTCGTGGTTAATTTCCCAAATGGAAGGAATGCCTCTATCTTGAGGGTTCTGGGAGATCAACCCCTTTTCGGGGCTTCTCACTGCTCAGAAGAAATGGGCTTCAAGTAATCTTTGGCAGCTCCATCACCCAGGGGAAAAAGGATGACAAATCCATGGGAATCAAAGTAACACTTTCAGAAACTGATTTATCAGGAAGACAAAAATTATTAAGGATAGATTTGAACTGTTGGGCTTGATCTGGTGTGGGTGTGGGTGTGTGCGTGTGTGTGTATGTGTATAAAAACCCTATATTTGGTGATGGTAGAATATACATTATTATTAAGCAGAGTCATAAATGAAGTCTCAAAAAATGCCAGGGAACTGCTTATCAAGCCATGTACCTGGACCCCAATGCAATAAAATTTGAAATTAAAAAAGGCCCACAAAATCCGTTTGGAATTTTAAAAACACATTCATAATAATTCAAGGACTAAAGAAGATATCATAATGAAGATTAGAAACTACAGGCAGTTCTTGCTTGACACAGAAGTGCAGGGATGTAAAGACAGCTGTCCAAGCTAAAACCATGCAAAGTGATCTCTATAATCAATGGAAAAAATAATGATTGTTCCATGATCATTAATTTTTTTTTTCCAAAACATTAAAAATACCCTTACTCTTGGTTAAAAATATGTAGAGAAAGGGAAAAAATTGTAAAATGAATATTTTTTAGCACATTGTAATTTAAAACATTAGAAACATTGAGATCTAAAGTGTTTTGTTTCTTTGTAAAAAAAAAAAAAGTTATTAAGAGGTTGAATTTTTTAAAAAGCACGAGTAGTGCTTCCTTCTCATATAACAAGCAGGGACTCTTTTCTATGCCTTAGCAATTGTTACACACATTTCTACGTTTGGATCAGATTCCAACATTTCATCCTTTGTTACTTTCAGTGTTGTGAAATATCTTTAAGAGTTCTTTAATGTAAAGTTTATTTGCTGGTGTCACTTCCTCTAGGACATTTTCATCCTTTTCATCACAGCCCATTTCTCATTTAGTACTTATGTTCGTCTTCCCTAAACTCCCCTGGTTGCATATCTAGTCTCTTGAATAGTAGCAGTGTCAACATTCCCAGCTATTTTTTCTATAACTCCATTTATGTTTAGTTCAAATTCCCTTCCACCATTATCACTTTTTGTTTCTTTGCTGCACTTTTATCTTTGTTGGCCAAGTCCCACTTTCAATTACCCATTTTTGTAAACTCTCATGTTGGTTTATCACTGGGAGACAGGGAGGCAACTCAGCTACATGCTTTGCTGTCTGCGTGAGAGCTGAATAACATGCACAGTGACCAATCACTGATAGACTTTAAAAGAGTGACATGATTGGTCATGGTTCATGGAGGATCTGTTGTATACATTGTGATTTGTGGACTGAAGAGCTGGCAGCCAAGTTTGAACTTGATGCAGTTACTCACAATTAATACACCATGGTAACTGAAAGTTGAATGTGCTGTTGGGAGATCGGTGCTATTTAATGAAAACATGGTATCAGAAATTTGTGTATATTGGAACTGTGCAAAGCAAGGACTGCCTGTATTTAAAACTGAGCAATAATGGAAACAATAACTACCAAAAATTATGGAATATTAAGGCGCTACTTAAAGGGAAATTGATAGCCTTAATGAATATATTAGGAAAAAAATGTTTAAAAATTATGAAATAAGGGCCGGCCCGGTGGCGCACTGCTACAGTGCGCCGCTTGGGAGCGTGGCGGCGCTCCCGCCAAGGGTTCGGATCCCACATACAGACCGGCCGCTCACTGGCTGAGCGAGGTGTGGGCGCAACACCGAGGATTGCGATCCCGTTGCCGGTCCCGGTCCCGTATGGGCGCGACACTGAGGGTTGCGATCCGTTGCCGGTCACGAAAAAAGACAAAAAGGTAAAAAAAAAAAAAAAAAATTATGAAATAAGCCTTTAACTTAATATGTTTGTGCAAAACAGAATAAATCCAAATAAAGTAAAAGGAAGGAAATAATAAAGGTATGAGGAAAAATCAAGTAAATAGAAAATAAAGAAAGAGGATATCAACAAAAGCAAATGCTAGATCTCTGAAGAGACTAACATAAAACTCTGGAAAGGGTGCCAAGGAAACAAAGAAAGAAAGCACAAATAAAGATATAAAAAAGAGTGCACAATAAATACAACAGAGATGAAGAAAATCACAATATTCTGAACAACATAATGCAAATAAATGTGAAAGCTTAAATGAATTAGCCAGTTTCCTAGAATAACAATTGATGCATCAAAATTGATAGGAAATAGATAACCTGAATAGACCCATAACTATTAAATAAAAATTATTATACTTTTAAAATCTTCTCATTAAAAGTACCAGGTCCAGATGATTTTATATGTAAGTTTTACCAAATATTTGAGGAATAGATAAGGTCTCTGTAAACTGTTCTGGTGATTTATTGGAAATATATTTAATGGCTCAAAGAATTGAAGTAATTACTAAACAGTTAGCTCTAATGAACAGCAGAAACCAGGGAGGATTCAGAAATCTAGACCATTTCTGTAGGATTCTGATTGTATTCACCATTCATGTCTCCAGGGTCTGGTGGAGTGTCTGGCATATAGTAGATGTTCATTAAATATTTGTTAAATGAACAAAAGAATAAGAAATGTTTACAGGACTAAATTAAAGGAGAGTAGGGGCAGAAAGCCATTCAGTCTAACAGTTAGATGGTTATTGAATCCTGTGTTTTGGGAATGGAGCCCACCCAATGAACCTGGAGTCAATGAAGTCATTTATACCATAATGTCTTTTCCTGTTATTTAATCAAAGCTATTCTCATGTCAAATGTATGAGTAGCTAGGAAGCAAAGTGGAGTTATGTTGTTGTTATTTTTTCAGCCATATGCAGTCCAGGAGCTCAAAGCAGTTGCAGGTGTAATGATTACTGCATCTCACAATCGCAAGGAAGACAACGGATACAAGGTAAACCCTGGACTCCTGACCTTTGCTTATTTTACAGTTCTTTTTTTTATTCAAATAATATGTTCTGAGTATATTTTCTACACTAGGGAGCAGGGCTAGACATTGGGAACAAAAAGAGAAAACCATCGAGGCCAGCCCTCAAAGAACGTGTATCCATAACAACCCTAATTACTTCTCAACATGTACAATTACAGAAGTCTCTTACTTGGTCTTTTTACTTCTAATTTCCTTGATTTCTCTATTGATCCCAAATCCATCCTCTCTACCATTTCAGAAAAAAAGTTACATTATTCCAAGAGCTCGAAGAATGATGGGAGTTTTCTGGAAGAGAGCCAGACCTCTTCTTGACCTCACTCTCCCCTCCCTCTGATCAGCCAGATGATCTTTTAAAACATAAACAGGTCATAGCACATTCCTGCTTAAAGTTCTTCAGTGGCTTCTCCTTCTTTGAATAAAACCCAAACTCCTTACCTTGGAGCTTAAAGCAGTCTGCATGATCTGTCTCCTCCGTACTTCTTCATTTCATCCTTTTTTCTGTGCTCAGTACGTTCCAGTCACACAGCTGTTCCTTTCTATTCCTCCAGTTCCTTCAATATTCCAGCCCTTTGTCACCTTTTTTTTTTTTTTTTTTTTTTTTTCTTCCTTTTATTTTTTTTTTTTTTCTTTTTGTGGTTTTTTTCCCA